CGAGTTTGTATGATGTAGAGGTGGTCATTGAATACGTTGATGCTTTCCCCAACAATCTATGGTGAACGGCAAGACTTCACCTCCAAATCCCGTATTGTTATCGTCTTTCAGACTAGTATCTTCTATAGAGACCATATAGGCGGTGAGCTGGTAGAACTCTAGGTTCTAGCACATAGAGTCCATATTGGCTACTCCGTCACCCACAAATTAAAACCCTTAACTTTTTTCTTAGATTTGAGTTATGGTTCTGAAGCGACTTTTGAGTTGTGGTAATAGGGCTAAGATGGATCCAACTTGGATCTGGGCTTAATTCGATTGGTATGCCTCTTAGATCTGAGTTGACTTCATCTTGCAAGAACTCACAGTGGTGACATTGTGTTATTAGAGAGAGAGAGAGAGAGAGAGAGAGAGAAAGAGAAAGAGAGAGTGAGTGTGTGTGTGTGTGTGTTTGAGAGAGAGAGAGAGTGTGTGTGTGTGTGTATGTGTGTATGCGTGTGTGTGAGAATGTGAAAGGGTGGGACTTGTTATTTTTCAATAATTTCAATAATTATTGAATTAAAACGAAATTAGTAAATATAATATAGTCCATTTTATATATGGAATTAACTAAACATGCAACAAAAATGAATGCTATTTTTAGTCACATATTTTAAGATTATGTAGTACTTTTTTATGTGAAACAATTCAAAAATGTTCTGCGGCACATTTATGCTAGTAAATAATAATGAAATACTATAACATAGAATAATATATTTACATAATTTTTTATCTATAATATAACATAAAATAAATAATTAAATATCAACATATATAAAATCATAAAAATTCAATTATATCCAACGAAATAACAACATTTTCTTGTCTATTCCAATGGAATAAACCATTCTATTCCTTCCATGATTCCATCATAACAAATAAACACTACCTAAAAGAAAAAATAAATGTTTTTCCAACCATGCAAATAAATAGATATTTAATAAACCTTTGTCTGGCTTTCTAAGCCATAATGATCGATATCAAGCCTATCTTTTTTTTTTTTTACCTTTTTAATTCCAATTCATCTTCTTCACTAGTTGTCTACAATGGCAAATCAACAAGATGCTCAAGGTAATCACATGTGTTATTATAACCCGGTTGTAGAGCTTGCATTTTTTCAATCTCCTGATAAACATTTTACATAAATGCTAAAAAAAATTCTCATGAAAAACCAAGGCACATTTATTTGTCAAGTGTTCAAAAAAATGATAATACCCTAAATCCTATAAGGAATGAGGTAAGACACAATAATAATATGGATAGTAAATTAGATTTTTGGTCCCAACAATTTGTTTTTAAAATTTTGCTCCTTACCTGAGGCTTTTGTAACATTTTTTGTCCTTATTCCATGTAAAATGACTATTTTTGGAACCAAAATTGCAATAAGCTTTGAACTTGGATGAATAGGGGCCAAAACCTTTAGAAGAACCACAATTAAGTAATAGATGTGAATGTATAATTTGTAAAAAAGTTTAAACCTCTGCTTCAATCTGATGTAAAATAGCAGGTACTCTCTTATGATATGTTCTTTCTTCTACCACCTTCAAATGCATCAAACTTGTCTTAATGAGTTAAGGACTTAATCTGGACAAATAGGAAATAGGCATATAGACTATACGTATACATCACTTTATCCAGACACATAGATGTGATGACAAACTAGCTAGTCTCTGAAGATCTATTAGAGAGTACCAATACAACCGAAATAAACACATTGCGGTGTAACCGTAAGAAGCATAAACAAGTTGCATGAATTTGATACTAAATTTAACTTAATTTGTAAATTTTTGATAATAATAAAGTTTATATAGTAGCAATTTTGGCGAACCTACGTATCATATTGATAAATAATTCCCTTAATTTTTATATTTTAAGAAAATATCTCATGTATTTCAGGATGGTGAGATTACGACTATGATTTTGGAGCCATGAATTCCAAATCAGAAGCATAAATTCCAATTTTAAATTGATTTTCACAACAAAAAATATATATCTGATTAATTGAACTCGCTATAATCACAAAGCAAATATCAATTGAAGCAACAATACAACAGTATCAAGTGAATATAAATATTTATAAGAAGAAATATACTTGATTAACATATTAGCATTGAGGTGTGAAGAGAAAGGAATTCTTTTATATATGCGTAACTACATCCTGTAATAAGAACCAAAAATAACATAAGCTTTAACCATATAGGAAATGTTTTCTGATTCAAATATATTGGTGTTTGATCTTTGCTAACATAAACTTGTTACAACCTGTAAATATCATATAAAACATAAATAAATAAGAATAATAAATTTATGAGGGTGGATTTACATCAGATTTGCATAAACGTGAAAAAAAAAAATCTTGAGGCTTTGCACAAAAATCATAAAACCTTACAAGTCCAATAGTTGTTCCCGCTGCTAAAAAGTATCCATCATCACATAAGGCCAATGAAGAAACTGGTGCTTCATAGGTTATGCAAAAAGAAGGTCTTTGTATAACTTTTTTTTATCTAGTACCATAGTAGCAATCATTTGTCATAAATCAAACTTATAAATGAAAAAACAAAATAATTGTACAAAAAAGACGCTTAAACGAAAGTTAAAAGTTAAAAGAGAGACTTCGTCATTGGAGGGTGAAAAACTAACACCAATAGTTGGTGTAGAAAGCTACTTTAACCAAGAAACCTTTGGGTTCCAATAGTTGTATCCCACAAATAAACAAATTCATCATTTTCAGTGTCACTGAAAGGGGGTTGTTAATCTATTGATAATCAAGTACCCCTTAACATCTGAGAGCTTGTACCATCAAACAAACATCTAGCACAATAAAAAATACAAAGGTACATGCATGAATTATAAAGACCAAGAAGAACTAAGATTCTTAATGGTTTTCTGATAGCCATAAAGTTGGAGAAGAAGACACACTTGCCGATTAGGATCCTTTAGTTCAGTAGCCCTGGTGCCTGATGCAAGGTTGTGAATTGTAAGATCACCACTAAGACTAATGGAACCTACATGTTCATATTTGAAATTGTAAACATATGTTATTGTGTATGTATGACCTTGTAACTACTTTATACACCTTCTATAAATTCCATATTCTTACAATTTGGCCACTTCCACCAGAACAAATGTAACGAGATGCTTTCGAATTGAATTTAATTGGGAAATAGAATCTTGCAACATGGTATTTGGCCTAATTAATACAAAGAAGATTACATACAAACAAGATTAAAGTTTAAAATACTCCATAATTGTAAATTTCATGTTGATTGTCTTATGAAATTTGAGACGTAACTTAAAACATATAAAAGAAGTTAAAACCTTCATTAGACATTATATCAATAGTTGGGGTGTTTAATCAAAAAGTAGAAAAACACCAAATTTCCCTTCTTCCATAATTTCTCCATTTTTTCTTGAACCTTCAGCTTCAATCAACCGCTATGTAAAGGAATTAAAGATCTGGAGTATAAATCAAAGATGAAAATTAGGGAAAATATTAATACCTTTTGTCTGATCAAATAGAAAAATGGATTAGAAAACGTGATGTTCTCCTTGCAAAAGAACATTCAGAGTTGCATGATCAAAATTATTGATTTAAGGTATCTTTCAAATATGCAAGTCAATATATACAAAATCATTGATGAGAAAATGTTAATTAAGCGCATGATTGTGAGAGAGTTGAGCGTAATTAAGATAACATATAAGTTTAACAGCGAACTTTAATATCCAAGAGAAACTTCTCAATACAAAAGAGATAATGCAAAATTAATGGTTTATGTTACGAACAGAGGAGAAAAACTCACCAGAACAGTAGAACCTTGTCGAGATTTGTTAAAAACTCTCAAAATCAACAATATTAGAATGAATTGCAACAGAAACTAAGGAGCTTTGGTATAGATTTCACAAATTAGGTGATAAACTAAATCAATCTACTCTTATCAAACTTAATTGACAACTTCCATAAAAATACGATCATGTATAATGGATTGAATGTAGACTTGAAAGTTAGGGTTTGAGAAGAAATGCTTCGAGTGGAGGACGTTAGGTTTTAACCGACGGATAAGGTGAGGAATGTGAGTTGAAAATTGGAATCATACATGATATCGTGATGCAAAGAGATAGCATATGACTTCTGTTTCGATGGTCGGTTGATGGTATAAAGAAGTTTTGAAGTGTGATACGGAAATTCTATTTTTTTTCGGTGGCACAAAAACAAATTGGTAAAACATATCATAAAACTTTAGTGGAACATAAAAAATATGATACAAAATAAAGAGTTTTTAGTGGCATTCTAATTTTATATGCTGCTGTCGCTGCTGATAATAATAATAATAATAATAATAATAATAATAATAATAATAATAATAATAATAATAATAATAATAATAAGAATAGTGACATCAGTTATTAAATATCATTAAATGTATTAATTTTATAATGACATATAAAATGTGTCACTAAAACATAATATAGTGACATAAACAAATATTCCATTAAAAATGTATAAATATCATTTTGTTTATAGTGTGGTTCTTTTTGCTGCGCATATTGGGGTTGATGCCCAAAAAAAACTAGAAATTATCTTTGCAATCATTTATGATTTCTTATGGAGTGGTTGCAAAGCTAGGAATAACAAAATCTTCTATAAAGTTCGGATCTCCTCCTTGGCTTAGGTCGATAACACTCTCAGGGAGGTTTTTGTGTGGATCAATTATAAGGGTAGTTTTGAAAATTGTAATTAAAGGTTTGGTGTTCTAAGTTGGTTAAAATTTAAAATATTTTTATTCGTTAAAATTGCATTGTTTTCCGAAAATATTAATTATAGGTTATAAAAATATTCATAGAATATCTAAGATCGTATCTTATTATCATCAATGGTCATATTTTGTAATTTCTTGCTTATACTCTTCATGTGAAGGTTATTACTTTTTAATAATATCGGCCGGTTAAAAAAAATGCTAACCAATTAAATAACATACTAACGGTCAATTGAATATATGATTATTTGTATTTTTTATATAAAGCTACTTTATTTAATTGGTAACCGAGAACATTATTGTAGAATTTATTTTTTATAGCAATTATATATAGACATGTTAACTTGTCAACGTTCACTTGGCGTTTTTCGAAGTCGCACAAACGAATCATGATTCAAGCTCTCGCACTGATTCTTCTCCCTCTCATTGTTTCATACGTTTTGTCGATTGTTTACTGGAACCGGAAATCTGGAAGCAGCAAAATCAATCTTCCACCAGGAAGTTTCGGATGGCCATTTATCGGAGAAACTCTATCACTTCTCGGTGCAGCTTTGAACGGAACTCCGGAGAGATTCGTTCGTGAGCGGATCAAGAAACACCGCAGTCCTTTAGTATTCAAGACGTCGTTGCTCGGTGACAGTATCGCGGTGTTATGTGGTCCTGCCGGCAACAAATTCCTTTTCGGAAACGAGAACAAGCTGGTGGCGTTGTGGTGGCCGTCGCCGGTGACGAAGCTTTTCGGCAGATGCTTGATTACGATTCGTGGCGATGAAGCAAAGTGGATGAGAAAGATTATGTTATCGTATCTTGGTCCTGATGCTTTCGCTAGTCATTATGCTGCCACCATGGACATCGTCACCCGTCGCCATATCCAAGTTCACTGGCGAGGTAATAAAATGACTTTTACTCATTGAATCGCACAAGTATTGTTAATGGGTTGTTGCTTTTCATTTTTTCCGATGAAGGTAAGGAGGAGGTGAACGTATACAAAACTGTTAAGTTATTTGCTTTTGAGCTCGCATGTCGTTTATTTCTGAGCCTTGAAGAGCCAAACCACATTGAAAAACTCGGTTCCTTGTTCTACGTGTTCTTGAAAGGCGTCGGAGCGTTACCATTGAACTTTCCAGGAACACGATTTTATAGGTCGAAGAAGTTAGCAGAAGCTATTAGGAAAGAACTTATGGTGATCATCAAAGAGAGAAGGGTGGCACTGAAAGAAGGAAAGGCGTCGTCTTCACAAGATCTCCTGTCACATTTTCTTACATCTTGTGATGAAAATGGCAGGTTTTTAACTGAGATGGATATTGTAAACAATATCTTGTTACTACTATTTGCTGGACATGACACCTCCACTATATCTATCACGTTGATCATCAAGAGTCTTGGTGAATACCCTGATGTTTATGACAAGGTGTTGAAAGGTCAGTTGTCTTCTCTTATCCCTCTTTGCTTCGATTATGATTATGTGTACAACTACATATGAAAATGGCATTGTTTGTAGAGCAATTGGAAATTTCAAAGGGAAAAGCAACAGGTGAAATGTTGAGATGGGAGGACATACAGAAGATGAGATACTCTTGGAATGTTGCTTCTGAAGTCATGAGAATAACTCCTCCCGCTGGTGGATCATTTAGAGAGGCCCTGGTGGATTTTGAGTACGGAGGTTATACCATTCCAAAAGGATGGAAGGTAATAGACTTTTAAGTACAACCTTAATAATTAACTCATTGTATTCACAAAGGATGGAAGGTAATTGACTGATATATCATATATGTATTAATATGTTGCATATTCAGCTATATTGGAGTGCTGTAACGACACATAGAGACGACGCAAACTTTCAAGATGCGACACACTTTGATCCGTCGAGGTTTGAAGGTGTAGGACCCACTCCATTCACATATGTTCCGTTTGGAGGGGGTCCTAGGATGTGTGTAGGGAAAGAATTTGCACGAGTGGAAATACTTGTGTTCCTTCACAACATCGTCACCAATTTCAAATGGGACTTGTTAGTACCTAATGAGAAAATCGAATATGATCCCATGGCTACACCAATAAAGGGGCTTCCTATTCGTCTCCATCCTCATCAAGCATGAATGTATGTTGTAAACTTCAAATTTTACGTGTTACAAATTGTAAAGTTCTAAGCAATGGTTATAACTGTTTTATTTTTTACCGCTGGATGGAAGGACATCAAATGCATCATTAAACCTCTTTCTAAATCAATAATTACTCGAAGTTAGGCTTTGCGGTATCGAGTACATTTCCACGCATAGGAGCTGAGTTGGCAAGCCAACCTACGCCTGAACACCACTCCAAACGCGCATAGGAAACTTGTGGCGTAGCCACATCTACGGACGAAGACAACAAATGGCGTGAAGAGAAAAATCACCGGCCCTTTATTCGACCGTTTATCAACATTTTTAAAAAAATATTAAATTTTTAAATTTAAATTACATCTATATCTTTTATCTATATCTACTACACATTTTATATTCATTTTACACATCTAAAGCAAAAAATTTATTCTACTTTCTTTATTTTTCTCAAAAAAATAGATCCAAAACAAAATGCATTACCCACTCCAAACACCCGAAACACCCAAACACTCCAAATTATTATTATTGTTATTATATATATATATATATATATATATATATATATATATATATATATATATATATATATATATATAACTTGGCCTCCAACATGAACAGTATAATGAAGAGTTTTTGCCAAAAATGGCCCTTCCATTGTGTTGATGAGATTTAAATGTTGGAAGGAAAAGCTATTGGGTATTTTTTGTTCGCTTTCTTATAATTTTATACACGTGTTATTCATTGTGCATGGTATGTACTTTTTTCATGTATATCCATTCTGCTTGCCTATCTACGCTCTTTCTTCCCGACTATCGCTTTGCGTCTCTACTTCTCATTTCTGGTAAGGGTTCCTCCTGGTTGTTTACATTTCCTTCGTTTGTTGTTCTTCTTTTTGGTATTGTGTTTCAGGTTTCTTTTGTGTTTGTTTCTATGATGTTGCTTCCGCTTCTGGTTTGCCTTTCTGTTACACAGGGTAGAAATGTTCGGCGGCGGTCTATCGACAGACGGATGGTTTACGTGCTCTCCCTGAATATGTAGACTGTGGCGTCTGTGATGCAGTCTGCGGTTATTGTGGTGCTTTTTTCTGGCTTGGAGAAAGATATTTGAATATGTCTACTCCTCAGCATCCGAGATACCATCGATGTTGTAAAAGTGGTTCTGTTGCTCTTCCGTATCCTTCTAGAATGTCGGTTGAATTTATCGGCCTGTTTGCTAACGACCATTTTTTACGGGACATTAGAGCTTATAACAATATGTTCTCTATGACCTCTTTTGGAGCAGATGTTGATGATGATGTCAATGATGGTCGAGGGCCTTTTGTGTTTATGATTTCTCGACAAATTAGTCACAAAATTGGTTCCCTCTATCCCGAACCTCAGAATGGACCACGATTTCTTCAGCTTTACTTATTTGACACAGAAAATGAAGTCGATAATAGGTTGAGGATTTTTGATGGTCCAAGAAAACCAAATCTGGATGAGAGCATAATCTTCTTTATGGTTAGTTTTTTTTTCTCTGAACAATGAATATGTACGAACAGCAAAATATAGCCTCTTATTCGGTTCGTTTGTTCATCAATGTTCCGGATCGTAGGTATGATCTCCCTTCACCAAGATCGTTAGGCTACATTGTTAGTGGTGATGACAGTAACTGTACTACCTATGATATTGTGGTCTATTCTAATTCTGGTCTACTACAGTGTATTAGCAAGCTTCATCCCTATTACATGCCCTGCAATATCCAATTTTGTTCCCTTATGGTGAATATGGTTGGTCTCCACGGTTGAAATTGAAAAATGAGATTGGTGTCCATGCTCGGAGTCTTACGGTTAACATGTATTATGCATATCAGATCCATGCTCGGCAAGGAATATGGTCTCCAATTTTAAGTGCCTCTCGCCTCTTTCAACAATATATTGTGGATGCATATACTTGTATTGAGGTTGCACGGTTGGACTACATTGCTAAACATCAAGACAATCTTCATTTTGAGTATGTTAGTAGGCTGTATGATGCGCTTTCAAAGGGGGACTGGGACGGTCGATTTGTAGGCAAACGAGTTTTTTTGCCAACATCTTTTACAGGAGTCCCCCGATACATGCATAGCCACTATCAGGACGCACTCGCTATATGTAGAGTTTATGGTAACCCACAATATTTCATAACTTTCACATGCAATGTAAAATGGCCTGAGATAAGACGGTACATGGATAGATATCCCGAGAAGGATCCGAATACCAGGGCAGATATCATTGCAAGGGTTTTTAAACTGAAGGTTCATGCTTTTATCAACTTCTTGAAACGAGACAAGAACTTTGGTTATGTTGATGCATGTATGTTATTTTGTTTCTCTATGAGTTGAAATGTTTCTTTAGTTCAGAATATTTTTAATTCAAATATCTTATAAGCTATTTGATTTCTGATGATTATTTTGCTGTGTGTTTACTGTTTATTTTTTCACCTGAATGAGACAAATATAATTGAGGTTTTTTTTTATTGAAATATGTTATAAGTTGTTTGATTTTCATGCTTATTTGGCTGTATGTTTACTCTTTATTCTGACACCTAGATGAGACAAATATGAGTGTATGCAAGTGTTTGTTCATCGGAAACTGTTATGTTGAAATTTTGTTAGGTATACAAACGTTATGTACGGTCGTTTTAGTCCAAAACTGTTAACATAACTTATTTTACACCTATAAAGGTAGCATGTAGGGAGAATTTGGTACAAAATTCTTAAAATTAGTTTTCTTTCCTTACAAAGATTATGCAGGGGCATCTTCGTCCAAAAATCTTAAGTTTTAAATTTTTAACAATACACTCGCTATGCAGGGTCTGTTTGGTCCAACTGTTGTCACTACGTATTTTCGTGGGATACCATCTATTTTCATTTCAATGGTTTACTGTTTTTATAGGGGAGTTTTTCAGTCTTTAAATGCTTTCTATGCATATATCATGTAACAATGTCACGATTGTATCCTTCCATTTGTCATCTGAAATTCTTACAGTTCTGTTTTTCCATCCATATTAAATTACATTTTTTTTCTTATCTTGCATGTTCCTGTATTTCGTACATCCTAAATTTCACTTACATATCACTACCATAAAACAATGTACGCTTCTTTTTATTTAACACCTTTACTTATCCTCACAAATTTGTATACAATAGAGTTTCAAAAGAGAGGTCTTCCACATTGTCATACGTTGCTATGGGTAAATAGTTCGTCTAAGATACGGAATGTTGAAGATGTAGATACATATATAACTCTTGAACTGCCAGATCCGGTTGCAGAACTAGCACTGTATAGAACAGTTACTGCGTGCATGATTCATGGTCTATGTGGTCCGCTAAATGATAAAGTTCCATCTATGAAGGATGGAAAATGTAAGAAACATTTTCCAAAGCCATTTCTCGAATCTACATTCTTTGAGACTGATGGTTATGTACGTTACAAACGTTCTTCAGCAGGAAAACACATAACACCACGTGGGATTCCTATAGATAATGGGTATATTGTACCCGATAACAGAAGGTTATGTTCTCGGTTTGATGCGCATATTAACATTGAGTACTGTGGATGGAACATGATGATAAAGTATCTCTTTAAATACATTTCTAAAGGAGTAGATCGTGTTAGATATGCACTAGAAAAAAATGAAACAGCAGATAGAGGTGCTCCAACTGTTGTCACAAATAATATGTTGGATGGAAAATAAAAACACTCTTCTTTCGTTAATGAAATTCAGAATTTCATAGATGGAAGATACATCTGTCCACACGAGGCGGCATGGCGTATTCTTGATTTTCATATACATCACCACCACCTACCTGTTCAGGTCCTATCTGTTTATATAGAAAACACACAGCATATTGTGTTTAACGAAGAGAGCACAATACAAGAAGTTTTGTCCAACCCTAATGCTTCTAGAACAACCCTTCTTGCGTGGTTTGAGAGCAATGCAATAGATGCATCTGGTCATGATGTCACATATCTTGACTATCCAATGTATTACAAATAGGATGCTCCTTCTAAATCATCGGTACGTAGGGCTGATGACTCATCAAAAATGGTTGGCCGGGTGGTCTTTGTTCATCCATCATATGGCGAATTGTTTTATCTCAGAATGTTGCTCTCTCATCAGAAGGGTTGCAAATCATTTAAAGATCTTCGTGCCATTTCCAACATTATCCATCCAACCTACAGAAGTGTGTGCAATGCATTAGGAATAATTGGAGATGATACCAAGTGGATAAACGCGTTCATTGAAGCTTCTGTCTGAGCGGCCTCAGCACAACTGTGATCCCTTTTTTTGTCACCTGCTGCTTTTTTGTGAAGTAAGTAATCCACGCCTCCTATGGGAAGTCACACATGAAAATATGTGTGATGATTATCTGTGTACAATGAAAACCAGAATAACGGATTGGTCTTTGTCTTTCAAAGATGATCTTATAACACAATAGTTGCTGCACAGTTTAGAGGATACGCTTCGTTCTTCTCTCCCTTCAAGATTATTACACGATTTTGATTTACCGATGCCATCATCTGATATCCTTGTTGTGATTGATAATCGGTTGTTAGTTGAAGAAATGAATTACAATAGAGAAGAACTACAAAAAGTGGTTGCTCAATTTCTGCCACGATAAAATGCACAACAGATGTCAATCTATCGAACAATTGTTGGGTCCATTGAACATAAGAAACAAGTTTTGATGTTTGTCTATGGTCACGGGGGTACAGGCAAAACTTTTCTATGGAGTATGATTCTTTCGTATTTTAGATCAATTGGGAAAGTGGTTCTGGATGTTGCTGCATCTGGAATTGCATCATTACTACTTCCATCTGGAACAAACGCACATTCAAGATTTAAGATTCCAATAGATCTCACAAACAAAAAATCTTGTGATATAAAAAAGAGAACAATTCTAGGCGATCTCATGTGTCATACATCACTTATTGTATGGGATGAAGCACCAATGAGTGACAGAAGATGTTTTGAATTTCTGGACAGGTCGTTATGAGATGTTTTAGAATGTAAGGAGAAACCATTTGGTGGTCTTTCTGTCCTCCTTGGTGGTGACTTGCGACAAACACTTCCTGTTGTCCCAAAAAGCACACGTTCTGAGACAATAGCGCTTACACTACCAAAATCATATCTTTGGCGTCTTTTTCAAGTTAGAATGCTCACGAAAAATATGCGTTTGCTTTCAAATACAAATGTCGAGACACATACACTATCAACAGAAGATTTTGCCACATGGCTTCTCAACATTAGAGATGGTTTGGTTGGATTCCTGATACAGATGATCCTGACAACACGTCTTGGGTTCAAATACCAGATTCACTATTGATCCCACCTGGACCAAATGTGTTACAAGATCTTATACAGTTTGTGTATGGAGATTCTATACTGATCAACCCAACAGCGAAAGATCTTTCAGAAAGGACAATTGTTTGTCCAACAAATGAAGTGCCAGATAAGATAAACAACATGATCCTAGAAACTATCACAGCTTCCGGTGTAGTATATAACAACACAGATTCAATGCAACCAAATGGAAAACACACAGCTGATCCAGAAGGACTATATCCTACAGACTACCTAAATGAATTAATATTTCCAGGAATCCCACCTCATGTACTTCACTTGAAACAAGGAGCACCGATTATGTTACTGAGAAACATGAATCAAAAGGAAGGATTATGTAATGGTACTCGATTGATTGTTTCACAACTTATCCCAACTATAATCGAAGCTACCATAATGACTGGAACTTATATCAGAAGACGTGTATACATTCCGCGCATAAAATTCATACACATGCCATCTGATTTGCCATTCAGTTTTTCAAGAAAATAGTTTCCAGTCAATATCTGTTATGCAATAACAATCAATAAAATCCAGGGACAATCATTAAAAAAATTGGTGTTCTGTCTCAACTAATTTTTGCACATGGACAGTTGTATCTAGCTTTCTCCAGAGCAACATCACCTGCATCCATAAAAATTATTATAGAAAAAAATCACCATTTCATACCCACAGAAACCAAAAACATTGTGTACAAAGCTCTGCTACGCAATGTATTCCAAAAGCATGTCCAAAATACCCATAATACCTTAAAATTTAACTTTCATATCACTATTGGTTACATAGCTGTGATTATTTTCCAAACAAGTCTCAATGCATGCTATATGTAACAGCTAACACTTTTACCTCGATTAATGTCTGTTTACCTAACAGTGAAGACATAGCATTCATGACTTGTATATCTGATATGAAGTGTGAAGGTGTTGGAGCTCCTTTACAATTAAGAATCATCCGCAAATGGAAGAACAATGTCCGTCGATACAAGACATGGTACTTAGGTGTTGATAGAATTCTAAGTGTACAAAATATATACAGAAAACATAAATACACAATAAAAAATTATTATTGCTATACTTTAATACTTAATAAATTCTATAGGGAGATGCAATCCAGATTCTTGGACAACGTACTAGTCAGACTTATAATGAATCAGTATTCAAATTATTCGATTGCTACACGATCTTCGAATACAGCTGTCCAGAACTTGATAGGCACCAGAAGGTATTAGAGAATGATTTCTACATCAAGGTTGGTCTCATTTCAGTAATCAAATCACTTCCAGATACAATGACAATACCAAAACACTGGTTCCGGTTTGTCACAAAATCGCATCTCATGGAACTTGGAGAAAAACCACCTTATTATCCAGGTATACAGATCTGTCCTTCATTATATATTATATACATTACTTACGTAATAACATTGATTGATTTTTTAGATTTTATTAGTGTTCTATCAAAAACCAAAGACTGCAGAAAAGCAAATCATGAGCCATATGTTTTCCTTGTGCTAACAGAAAAGAGGTAACTGCAATATCATGGAACATATATTAAGTACAGATTACACTTCCATTAGTTAATAACATGATACATTAAACGTCTAGTGGCAATGAACTTCCAATAAACCTATGGAATGAATGCATCACAGTCCCAACAAAATTCAACCGTGATCTACTAATCCCGTTGCCTACCATTACAGTTGTTGCTGTTACAAACCTAAAGGCTTCCACTTCTGCAAGTATGGCACTTCCAATCTGAAAGTTATCAAAAAAATTTCACTGTTATACCATAATAATTGTTATTAGTGAATATAATCCTCTTTTTAATCCTATGAACATTGCGCCATGGATCATCCCCTCCCACCCATGTATACATAAATCTAGAAATACCAGAAACAACAGCACTTCTTGATATGTACAACAAATTTCTCATATGTAAACATCATATTTGATCAATAAAAATATTATTAACAAAATGACTCTCTGGTTTCAGCTTCCGTGGACAACAAAGACCAATTTCTATTCCGTCTGGAATACCAATTACATTGCAGGATATGAAAACAAGAAAACGATCAGACTTACTGGTCATGTTACATGATATCTTCTTATCTATTTTCATTCAATAATATAGATAAGAATCAATACCTTAACAGTACAACCATCTGTTTACAAGATAAAATTTTTTTGATCAAAGCATCAATCACGGATATTTAGTTTCAAGACAATTGGTATCAGGTTCTATGTCCCACTTGTAGAGATCCCATTCATAAACGTGGCCCACAATGGTACTGCAGTGCAGATTCTCTCATTGAAAACCCAACATTTTCGTAAGTACACTTCGATCTACATTGCAACGATTTATCCTATATGCTATAAGCTAACAAATTTATTTTAAGAACAAACATAAATTCAGCCTAACAGTAAGTGACGCAGCAGACACAATATCAACAATCATATCTGACACCTCATGTTAGAAACTGCTCAAGTCTACCCTTGAGGATTGGTATGCAAAACGATGCAAAACTTAGAGAGAAAGGAAGAAAAATCGCAAGGATAATGGATGATCTCGAGTTCTATTTATAGGCTGATGGCTCTGGGATTACGTTGGGTGTAAATTCCAAGTACGCTGGGCGTACTTCGACGTCACTGCATGCATCATTTGGTGACACTCGAGTATTGGTCAGACAACTTGCACTCCTCTGAGTACACCGGGTGTACCCAAATTATGCTCGGCGTAATTTGACTCCTCAAACTACTAAATTGCATAACATTCACATACGAGCTCCGTTTTTGTCTATCTTTATATCCACGCATAGATCAAACCATACTCTACAACTTTCATTTAGACTCCGTCGGCTAATTTTGACTTTATTTTTATTATTTATTTTTAATAGGCCGGGATAGAAAAACTTCGTTAGATATTCATAACTTCTTCGTCTGACGTCCGTTTTTGTCTGTCTTTTCACCAATGCACTACTATCAACGAGATCTTCGATTCTCGTTTAGAAAGTTTCAGCTAAAACTCGCTCGATCTTAATTCGAACTTTTGGGATGTCTACTGCTAAGCTGAAACTTCGAAAAATCATAACTTCCTCATACGAAGTCAGATTTAGGCATTCTTTTTATGCACGCTCTCGGTACAACATTATCTACGTCTTTTGTCGCGAAACTTCGACAGGTCATAACTTCTTCGTTATAACTCGGATTTCATCATTTTTTATATCTCCGGAATCCTTGTTTCAACCACTACATCTTCATGGAAAGATATCGGACATATCTCACACTTTAATTTTGACGCTTATTTTATTCTTAATTCATTAAATTATATTAATTAAGAAAATAAACACATAATTCACATAATTCACAAATAATACATTCTTATTATTTCAAATTTGGGTTACAAAGGTTAACCTAGACTATTACATTGCTAAAAATGGCAAGCCTAGAAACATGGGCGTTACAAAGAGTGCAAGATTATGTCTATAGCTAGCTCTTCATCAAAGTTGACATTCAACTTGAGCAAACGATCCACATACCTCTACATCCTTTCTAGGTGGGTCGTGATGGACTCTCCATCCTTCATATTGGTTGTTATGAATGAGGTGACTATCTCAAACCTCTCTTGACGTGCTCTTTGATGGTACTTCTCCATCAAGTCCTGACACATCACGTAGGGCCAATAGTCGTCATAGAACTATTGCAGCTCAGGAGTCACAGTGGCCACCATAATGCACGACACTTTGGTAACTTCCATGCGTTGGGCCCTATACTCAGCTATTTCTTCGGGAGTAGCAGTGGATTCATCTATCTCAACCAGTTCCTTGTCGAGAATATGTTCCTTGTCATCGTAGTGTAAGGCCATTATGATGTTTCTGATCCAATCATTGAAGTTGGACCCATCAAATGTGACCCTCACACAAATGTTCAGGAGCGAGAGTGGGTTCGAGGAGTTGTTATTTCGAGGAGTTTGAGCTAGAAGTGTTGTTTGGGCAAGACATCTGAAAAAGAAAAAAGATAGGTTTTTGATTAGATAGGAAATCCTTAATATAACACCCAAAATGAAATGTTAAGGCTAGGACCCAACACAATAATTCATAATTCAAAAAAGGGATGTTGTAATCCAATTGTAAATTATTTGATGGTAGGTAAATCATGATTTACCAATTCCACCACAAAAAAAAAATGAAATTTAAATAAATTAGGTTTTATTAAATGAAATTCCTAGATCTTTTGATATCTATTGAACTATTCAATGGCATGTTTAATCTTGGTTATGCCCTTCAAATTTGTGAATGGGATACCGAGGATCACAAATAAGGTGTGGATAATCTTGCAAATGAGCTTGGTACTGTCGATGTCATTAACCACCTCATCAATGTGCCGGTTAGCCACACACTCTCCATTGATATATGATAATTTACGGATTGCCACCTTATGTTAGTCTAAGTTAGTATGTCGGTTAACCACACACGCTCCACTAACGACTTCACAAAATGCAATGTGCAATTTCATGGATTAGCTTCAAATTCACATTTTCCTAAAGTAACTAACATTGGGAATTTATATAAAACATTTAGTTACTTTATATAGAGCATTATACTTATTAATGAGAGTAAAATGTCCTATCATACCTGCTCGGCTAACGACCCTCCACTAGTTAAGAGTGCAGAGGGGTAAAAATAGATACCCAATGACGGTCATTTTATAGGTCTCTTCCTTAAACACCCCTTATAGACCACCTTCGTGAATGAGGCCTATAAACCATAAGACTGACTTTTCTTATACATATATAATATTAAACTTTTAATTATATATATAGTACAAGGGTGTATTTTAAACAATTCAAAATACTAGGGTTTTTAACCTAATTTAAAATTTTCGAAATTAATAACCTTTAATTTGAAACCTTAAATATTAAAAACTTTGATTTAATAATTATCTAAAATTAATTAAACTAAATAAATAATTTAACCTAATCCCGTTATCCCAAAGATTTCGAAAATTTAGAAAGGGATTTTTCAAAACTTTAATTATCCTTTTAAACAATTAAAAGATAATTTTACCCAAAACCCTAGATTTTTGAAATCTAATCTTGGGGAAGGCATTTTCGAAATTCTAGTGTTAGCAAACCCTAAAAATCAAAATCATGAGGGTCAAAGAAAAGGATTCAAAAAAACCTAATCAATTTTTGAAACTAGGGTTTTGAAACCCTAATTTCGAAAATCCAAGCCCTAGGGTTTAAAAGCCATAAACCCTAATTTTGTCAAGTTCAATATATTCTATCAAATCTAATTGAAAACAAAACCTGGTCCTGATACCACTGATGGGTTTTATACAAACAGTCTTATGTGTGCATGCAACCCTAATATGAATCTATGTTTTCTCTATTACATATACAAGCATTGAACACAAAATAGAAAACCCTAATATGCATCTAATAATTCGAAATCTACATATGAAATATTAGATCACATACCTTTGTTGCTATATAGTAATAACAAATAAATCTTAAAGATCCTTGCTTTTGAGAAACAAGTACCACAAGTGTAGTACATCTAATGTCTCACAAACACACTACGACAAGAGGATGAATATGAGAGAGAGGAGAGAGGAGACAATTTCTCATAAATTTGGCTCTTCTAGGGTTTCAATGATGTGCCCGAATTCAAGAGGTCAAGGGTTCTACTTATAGTTGAGGACAACTAGGGTTTTGAGTTGGAAACCCTAATCCCTTTGCTTCGTGCCTAAGCAAGTCCATGGACCCCTTCCTTAGGGCTTCGACGAAAATCTCTAGAACCTTCTAGGAATTTTAGGCCCTCCCTAATAAGAGTGATCCAATGGCCTAAAATCACAACTATCAAATAATTACAAAACATCCCATGCACTTTTAATCAGTTCCTTTAACCCCAAAAATAACTCGAAATTAATTTTTAATTAAATACAAATTAATAATATGATTTCTAATTTATATATTATTCTTATAATATATTAATAAATCATTGTATGCACCAATTTGTTATTCTAACTAATAAATTCAGTCTCTCTCTCCAGTAGTCATCTTGTCTAGTTGCTAGTGTGAATGCAACTCAAAATGACCATGTTACTATTAAATCAGGTAGATATCAATTATAGTTATGTGGTTAGATACCTAATCCAACAATAGCGACTCTGGCTGGAGTAATGGTCTTAAAAGGGGATTACAGGTGATATTGGGTTTTGTAGGCTATATGCGATGGATGTTGTGAAGGAGGAAATGTTTTGGAAGTTTTAGATGATGGAATACTTCTAGAAGCAGAAGCTAACATTGTCTTCCTCTAAAAGATCTGATGTTAGCCTTCAAATATATGTAAAAACGGAAGAGATAGAAAGATAGAGATACCCATCATTCTCCCATGAAGACGATTGAAAACGACGAAGACGAAGAGCAATGAACATCATCATTCGTATTGGGGGTGTGCGATAGTGCAAAAAAATCACAAATAAAACTAAAAATCGGAACTCATGAAAGGAAACAACCACAAGCAGGTATGAAAGTATAGGCGGATCAGAAAAGCGATGAGTGTAACCGGTGCAGCACAACAGGGAGGCAGTGGTGGTATGAGAGTTTACGACAGAGCTTGAATCGATCAGCTGAGAAGGAGAAGAAGAGAAATGGAGACACCACTGAAGAGGGTTGAGATCGACAAGAGAAACGAGGAGAAAACCCTACGTTAGTAGATGATAAAAGTGTGTGGGTTTGGCTTAACAAGGATGAGAGAGGTGGTGGGACATGGTGATCCACACAAGAAGAAAACACGTGTTCAAGACACGTAAGCTGGCTATGACCAACCACTCAAATCAAGGGACCAAAGTCTAAATTTGATAAATTAATGTGGCGAAAATTTGAATGGGCAAAGCCGTGTGACAAAAAAATAAAATGATAAAAAGAAGGAGCCAATTTACCCAAAAGCTAAAAATTATGTGGCAAACATGCAGCACTTAGATCACAATAGAACACTTGGGGTTCATGAAGCATGTGACAAAGAAATGGATCGTTTGAGAAAGGAATGGATCGTCTGACAAATGAATGAATCAATTGCCAAAGGAACAGATCGTACAGTTTCTAATAAGAAAATGAAAATGAACTCATACTTTAAGATGGCAGGTAAACGGACAACGATTTAAAATCAAATACATTAAGATGGAAGGTAAACGGACAACACGGTGTACCCCTAAATGATAAATGGAACTTAAATATTTAAACCCTCTCAAAGAGTTGAAGTGCTTTAAATAGAATAACTACGAATCTTATCTATTACATAGTTACATTAACATTAATATATATATATATATATATATATATATATATATATATATATATATATATATATATATATATATATATATATATATATATATATATATATATATATATATATGTGATTAGCTTATTGAATATGAAAGAGAGCGAAAGGATACATTGATGGAGTTCAGCTTCTCGTAAAAGCCAATTGTAATCATTGCCTGCTATAAGTTTATAATTTTTAACACTTATAACTTCAAGCTGAAAGCATACCTCCGTCGATTCATGGTTGTATTCATCACGGTTGATGAGGATGGAGACGAATAGGAAGCCCCTTTATGGGTGTAGCCATGGAATCATATATAATTTTCTCATTGGGCACTAACAAGTCCCATTTGAAATTAGTGACGATGTTGTGAAGGAACACAAGTATTTCTAGTCGTGCAAATTCTTTCCCTACACACATCCTAGGTCCCCCTCCGAACGGAACATATGTGAATGGAATTGGTCCTACACCCTCGAACCTTGATGGATCAAAATGTGTCACGTCTTGAAAATTTGCTTCATCTCTATGTGTCGTTACAGCACTCCAATATAGCTGAACATGCAAAACATATATACATGATATATCAGTTTATACCTTCCATCCTCTGGTAATAAAATGGGTTAAAAATTCTATTACGTACCTTCCATCCTTTAGGAATGGTATAACCTGCGTATTCAAAATCCACCATGGCCTCTCTAAAGGATCCAACCACTGGCGGATTTATTCTCATGACTTCAGATACAACATTCCAAGTGTATCTCATCTTCTGTACATCCTCCCATGTGAGCATTTCACCTGCTTCTTTTCCCTTTGATATCTCCAATTGCTCTGCAAAATACAATGCCATTTGCGTATGTACTTATTATAAACATAATCATAATGTCCGGAAGCAGAAAACAACAAGAAAAGACAACTGACCTCTCAACACCTTTTCATAAACATCAGGGTATTCGCCAAGACTCTTGATGATTAACGAGATAGATATAGTGGTGGTGTCATGACCAGTAAATAGTAGTAACAAGATGTTGTTTGCCATCTCCATCTCAGTTAAAAACCTACCATTTTCATCACAAGATGTAAGCAGATGTGACAGGAAATCTTGTGAAGATGATGCCTTTCCTTCTTCCAATGCCACCCTTCTCTCTTTGATAACCCCCTTTAGTTCTGTCCTAATAGCGTCTGCTAACTTCTTCGACTTATAAAATCGTGTCCCTGGGAAGTCCAGTGGTAAACCACCGACACCTTTCAAGAAAACGTTAAACAGGGAACCCAGTTTTGCAATATAGTTTGGGTCTTCAAGGCTCATAAATAAACGACATGCGAGCTCAAAAGCGAATAACTTAACAGTTTTGTATACGTTCACCTCCTCCTTACCTTCATCGGAAAAAACGAAACACAACAACCCATTAATTAACAATACTTGTGGGATTCAATGAGTAAAAGTCATTATATTACCTTGCCAGTGAACTTGGATATGGCGACGGGTGACGATGTCCATGGTGGTAGCATAGTGAGTGGCGAAAGCTTCAGGACCTAGATACGATAACAGCATCTTCCTCATCCACTTTGCTTCATCACCACGGACTGTAATCAAGCATCTGCCGAAAATCTCCGTCACCGACGACGGCCACCACAACGCCACCAGCTTATTCTCGTTTCCAAACAGGAATTTGTTGCCGGCAGGACCACACAGCACCGCCATACTGTGGCCAAGCAACGACGTTTTGAACACTAAAGGACTGCCGTGTTTCTCGATCCGGTTTTGAACGAATCTCTCCGGAGTTCCTTTCAAACCTGCACGAATCAGTGATAGAGTTTCTCCGATAAATGGCCATCCGAAACTCCCAGGCGGAAGATTGATTTTGCTGCTTCCAGATTTTCGGTTCCAGTAACTAGTCAGTAAACCGTATGAAACAATGAAGAGGAGGAGGAGAATCGGTGCTAGAATTTGAATCATGATTTGTTTCTGCATGCACTGAATTCGAAAAAACACAAAGTGCGCATTCACTATTTAACGTTTTCACAGATAATTGTTCTAATAAATATATTAAAAAATAAAAATTATTATCCAACAAGCCATATGGTGTTACTTGTTTAATTGATAAGTATTATTGGGGAGGATGGAATCTTTATATTTTCCCAATATCCCATAAATATTACTAGACTATGCAATGTCGACAACAGTAAGACCTGTTATGCTTACGAGGCACCTCCACAACGTCCATATAATATTAAATCATCTGTATTGAATTTTTAACACATCATCATTCTACTAACTATAATATTTAATCTATTAAACTCTATATTTTATTAAAATTTATAAAGTTCAATGGATTTCCACATATTTTAATTTTTTTTTATAAATAATATTAATAAATAAAACTAGAATATTACATTAATTAGAAATTCAAATATACAATTACTAAGAGCATTCACAATTCAAGTAGTATAAGAGTTGAATAGGATGATGATTAGGATTGAATAATAGTTGAATGGAGTGTAGGTGATGATATGGATTAGAGTTGAATGGAGGAATTTAATGATCATTCAGTGCTTCAATAGAAAGAATAAAATGGTAATTAAGATTGAATATGTGTTTAATGGGTTGTAGGTGGTGTTGTATAGATGTTTAATGGATAATTTGTTAATCCATTGAATTCTATAGAGTTCAATGGATTGTGGATGCGCTAAATATTCATTAAAGATTACAATTTAGAAATTCAAAGTTACAAATAATACACTAACTAAAAAGTACAATATCTAAAATAGAAATTTTACTTCATATTGTATTTTATTTTAATCTCGTCACACCGGTTTCTCCAAATTTCACATCGGTTTCTCCAAATTTTAAAGAAACTCTGAACTATATGATAATATTGTACATCATGTTCTTCGATATGATTTAATAGAGCATATTTGGAAACGTTTTATTAATACATAATTTCATTATGTTGTATTATAATAAATAAGATGTTATCTTTTTAAAATGCTTTTAAGATTTTTATATATTTTTTATTGTTTAGAATAAAAAAACATGAAGTAACTTAATAAATTAAATTATTGAATATAAAATAAAATATAAATAAAAAATAACAATATATAGTTTGTTTATTGTAAAAAAAATGTTAATTGACTTTCAATTGAGAAAGAAAAAAAAAAAAAAAAAAACAATAAAGAAAAAATAAGATTTTTAGTAAATGAAGCTAGAAAAAAAGAAGTTTTTGTAGCAAATTAAGAAAGGAAAACAAAAAAAGAAAAACAAAATTTGTACCAGTGATGAATGGGGATTAAACCCCTCATTCGTTCAACCTATCCCACACTTAGGGGTGTTATTCGGTCGGTTATTTCGGTTTTCGGTTTATATGGTTCGGTTTTATCGGTTTTTTTACAACTTTAAACTAACCGTAACCAAACCAAATAAGGTTCAGTTTATGGATTTGGGTTAATTCGGTTACAGTTGATTCATTTTGGTTTACCGGTTAAACAAAATAAAACTTTGCACTTAACAATAAATACTAAACTAAAAGAAAAAAATATACTAAACTTTTACCAAATGAAAAAAAACACTAATACATAACATATTATATTCGGTCATTCATGATATGTTGCGTTAAAATATCGATGTTACCACATAACTTCTAGATACGAGTTAATATAATTTTAGTCATATATATAAAAAAATAAAAAATAACCGAAGGTTAATTGAAATTTGGTTAGTTAGTTATTTTTTATTAAAATCTATAAATAATTATAAATTTATAGTGGTTAACAATTACACAAAGAGTTATGAAAATATTTTTTAGTGAATATACATTTATTTAAATAAAAATGTTAATTTATAGATGTAAACTACAAAAATATATATTAATTATATATCTTATTCGGTTTATTCGGATTAACCAAAATCATGAAAATTTAACCAAAACCAAACCAAATAAAGTATCCCTATTCGGTTAACCAAACCGAATTAACCAAATAAACCAAATAAGATATTTAATTAATATATATTTTTGTAGAACCAAAAATATATATTAATTAAAAATCTTATTCGGTCTTCCCGCGATAGAACCGGCATGACGTCCTATGATGTAAAAAGTCAGTTTTCGATAAACTATGTTTTAGCTTTAGTGATCTAAATGAAAGTCATAGTATTCATTAAACCGAGAATTTCCATAAAAATAACATTCAAATCTGACTTCGTATGAGGAAGTCATGATTTTTATAAGATTCGGTGTAGCAGTAGACAGCTAAAAATTGGAAATAAAGATCGAGTGATTTTTAACCAACACAACCTAAACGACAATCGAATATGTAACATCCCAAGTTCACAAGCAAGAAGTTGAAAGGTGCTAAGTGAAAATAAAGGAAGGGACTCGGCGAGTAGGTCTCTTGACTTGTCGAGTCGAAGCGGGTGCAGGCTTTAGCACCGGCCAATTTGAGGGTCAACTTTCCATAGTTTGTTGCAAGACCGGTGCAGGCTCTAGCACCGACCAATTTGAGGATTACAGGCGGAGGCTAGGGGGAGCGGAGCCTCCGAGAGCTCAGGGTCGTGTTTTACAGCTTATAGCAGAGGAGGTCAGGGCAGAACCAGATGCAACTGCGGGTGTGTTTCCATCTTGTTATCTTGTTATTTGTGTGATATTGTAAACCTGTCTGCCTTGTTCCGCATGATTCTGTTGGATTAGTGGCTAAGCCCGTAACCATATTTGGTAAATACTCGACCCAGTTATGTATGACCCTTTTGGGTTGCCTTCTACAAAGCAACTTGAATGGAGAAATAAATAGAGAAAGAGGTTATTATGATTTATTAATATGTTATAAGAATAATATATTAAAAGGAGAAATCATATTTGTTTAATTAATATTGGTCAATAATTAATTAGGAATTAATTTCGTGATCAAGTGTAATTAATTAAACTAGAGCGGTTGAATTGTAATTATGTCATAGTTGCAAAATAAGGCAATGGTTATCCTTGGATAAGGGTGGACGAATTCAAGGGATTAGATATCCTTGAAATCGTCCATATGGTCCGAGGAATAAGGGTTATCAAGGCTTATCTTATGGTTGCTTGATGGGCAAGTAACTGGATAAGGATAATGATTGAAACCCTAATCCTAACCGTATATAAAGACCCCTAGGCCTTGAGAAATCGTCCCACCTGTTCCTAAGAGATCCCTAGGCCGATTTCTACCTCTCCTCTTCTCTCTCTCTACAGCCTCTCCAATTGTTTGTGGTGTTTGTGAGCCATTCGAGGCACTACACTTGTGGTGCTTGCTTTCAAGACTTAAGGTTTGAAGATTTAAGTTGTTATTACAATATAACAACCAGAGGTATGTAATCTAACCTTATATGTGAATTTCTAAAATAGCAACATACTTTAGGGTTTTATTCATGTGTTCATAAAGTTGTATATCTAATCGTGAAAACATAGATCCAAATCTAGGGTTGCATGCACACATAGGATTGTTTGTATAAATCCCATCAGTGGTATCACAGCCTTTGGTTAACTTGTTTTCAATTAGTATTATTCAATTGTATGAACTTGAAAAATTAGGGTTTATTGGCAATAAACCCTACGAGGCTAAATATTTCGTGATTAGGGTTTTTTAACCCTAATTTGCGAAAATCTTGAAGGTTTTTTGAATCCCTTCCTTTTAACTCAAGATTTCGAGATCTAGGGTTTGCAAGCCCTTAGATTTCGAGATTTCCCTCCGTCCCAAGATAAGATCCTAAATTTGAGGGATTTGGATAATCCCATATATTGTAATTATCTATTAATTGTTAAATATGATAATTAAAGATTTTGAATTATCTCCTCCCGTTATTTTCGAAAATTAGACGGATAAAAGGGATTAGGATAATTTGATTTATTAATTGGTAATTATCCGTTAAGATTTAATAATTCCTTATGATTTAATAATTTGAATTTATAGTTTAATTGGAGATAATTATTAAATCAAGAGTTTTAATGTTTAAAATTTTAATTTGAATGGTATTAAATTTCGAAAATTTTAAATTGAGGATTAAAACCTTAGTATTTTGAAATGTTTAAAATACACCCTATATTATTATATTATTACAAGCTTAATATATTATATATATATATATATATATATATATATATATATATATATATATATATATATATATATATATATATATATATAATTAAAATGCTAGTCTTACCGTTAGTAGGCCTCATTCACGAAGCCGGTTTATAAGGTGGGTATAAGGTTGTTGCCTATAAAATGACGCTTAATGGGTATACACTCACACCCACCGCTTGCTTGACTGGTGGAGGGTCGTTAGCCGAACGGGTAGGATAGGGAAATCCTCTCCTCATTAATAAGTATAATGAATATAAACAAAATGTAACTAAACATTTTTTAAAATTCCCAATCCTAGTTACTTTAGGTAAAAGTGAAATTGATGCAATCCCATGAAATTACACTTTGCACCCTTGCTAAGAAGTTAGTGGAGCGTGTGTGGTTTACCAGCACACTAATTGGTTCTAAGCAAAGGTGGTAAAGGGTGATTCATTGTTTGTCATAGTTCGATGGATCGTGTGTGGTTTACCGGCACATTGAATAGGTGATTGTAGCAATGAAGGCACCATGTAGATTTGCATGCTTATTCACACCCGCTTTGTGATCCTCGGCATCCCAGTCACAAACGAGAGGGGCATATCGAGATTTAAACATGCCATTGAAAGGTTCAATGAATCTCCAAGAAAATCTAGGAATTCTCAATACATTTAAAACCTAAGACTATGTTTTTCATGGTGAAGAATTAGTGAATCGTCATTCACTTACCTCCAAATTATTTGCGTGTTGGATTACGACATGCCTTTTCTAATATGTGAATAATGTTGTTGGATCCTAGCCCTAATTTTTCATTTTGGGTGTTTAATTTGGGATTCAATTCTAATCAAACTTTGTCCTTTCTATTTGTAGATGTCTAACGCAAACAACACTGCTGGTAGCTCATTCACGCTAATGAGCCTTTGTCAAAAAGTAACTTTCGATGGATCGAACTTTAGCGAATGGATAAGATACATTTGCACTATC